TATGTATATGGCCAGTTTCCCAAGTTCCTCATGTTTTCTGACTTAAAGCAGATGATACCAGAATTTAAATTCAGTCATTTGTGTTATAGTATTAAACTCACAGAAAGTTAAACTCACCTTAATTGTAGTTGGATTGAATCAGGAATGAAAGAAATCTTAAAACCAGGGAAAATATAAACCAACACTATCTGCGTGGCCATCAAGAGAGAAAATGTTTTTTAGGTTGTTGTATTTTTTATTTTTATTTTTGGTAATTTGGGTGGACTGACCCTTTAAAGGATTCTGTCACTTCTGATTTCTATTTCTTTTGTCAACAAACTTGTCAACATTATTATTCAATAACTATTTAATGAGCCAAATAATCGCTACCATGAACGTGGGCAGTGTAGCTTACATTGAGTCAGTCCTGTATACACAGAACACTCGCTAGCGCATCAAATGTGTATTAATAGACAGTTAAAAATAGTCCCAAACAAATACAAAATGTGCTCCTACTTGAGGAATATTTGCTTAAAACTACAGTGTTCAGCTGTTTTCGGAAATAATTTACCCTTTAAAAAACGAAACTATGTGTGTTATATATATAATGATGTGTGGGTTGAGTTCCTGTGGTTGCCTTCCAGAATCTCAATCTGCAATACATATAAGGAGTTACAATAAAATTTCCTACATGACAGTAATGTATCACCACATATTTATATTAAGTATAAAACTGGAAGTTCACCAAATTGTCCTAACTGTAAAACGTATGTAGGCACTAGTTTATGTTACCTGTGGGAGTGCGACAAAATTCAGTTATTGTGGAGGACAGTATGGTTTAGTCCCCAATACAGACATTGATCCAATTTTTATCCATTATATTTAAGTCCAAGTGATTCCAACGGTTCCATCCACTTCTGTAGAAAAAGCTGAGTCCTTTCAGAGTCACAACCTCAGAGACCAAAGATTTCCACATAGAAACAGAAAGAGGGTCGCCCCAAACCCATTTCATCTCACCAGCATTAAAAGCCATTGAACCACTTCCTTATGCTGTTTAAGAGAGTCACGGATATGTCCAAGCAGATATAAAAGTGGATTTGCTGACACCTGTTGACCTGTTGCTGTATTGATGTTAGTGAAAATGTTGAGAGGACTAATTAAGTACGACACTGTCAGTTTTGGTCTATTAATGGGATTTGTTGACAACATATGATATAACACATTGCTTATGCTTTTAAGCTCACCTGTCCCAGTTCACGTTTTTGACTGTGATAAACATTTTTCTCATCTGAAGGTACACCCAAAAAAACACCGGAAATGTTTAGTCCTCATGTGATAACAGCAGCCGTCTGTGCAGTGGTGGTGGCCATTATCATTGCACTGGTGCTCTGGTTCAAATGCAAGAAAGGACAGAGAAGTAAGGACATATATTGGGTTTGTCCCAGAGTAGCTGTTCTACACACATTTGCATACCTGTTTGTGAAAATAGAAAGATGGAAGTGTGAATGACTCAGAGACAGGCAAAAACTCACAGCAGTTTCTATTTTGGTTTTCAGGAGCAGCAGCAGCGGTAGTAGCAGCAGCAGATGTGCAGCGAGGAAATGAACATCAGGAGTAAGTGGTTGTTTGCAATTGCCAACATTGTGAAAGGTCACAATACACTGAATGCATTCATAAGTAATGTAAAATGTAAGCTGATAAGGAGCTCCATGAGACTAATGTTATCCCTCCCTTTCCTTTCCTTTCCTTTCTATTTTTCATGTTCTCCAGGGAATTAACAGTGCTCAGTGAAACTTAAGAAGAGGGGAAAGATGCATCTTGAGTGCTGAATTGGCGAAGAGGGGTGTCAAAGTTCTAGGATCTAGAACTAAAATTGTATGTCACTCAAGTGTATGTTACATTAGTGACTGACTGGCTGCATAAAGGCATGAACGGCCAGTGTCCATAATGGTCAGTGACTCACTGGGGGCCGCATGCCATCAACATTTCACTGACATTTGTGACTTTTAAGTGTTTGAGGAAGTATTCCTTATAAAGTATCCTTTTAAAGGTGATGTACAATGCGAGAATGGCTTACTTCTCAAAAAAGAGGACTTTTCCAGTGGTTTGTGGTGAGATTGTTGTTGTATACTGGAAAATAGTGTCGGGGGAGCGAAGGTGGGGGTGAATGTACTTCCCAGCATCAGTGAAATCAAAAGGACAAGAAATGTAGAAATGTATGAAATATCTGTTCTATCTTTACGTGACCTCTACTGGATGGAGCAGGATATGTTACATGCTACAGGTGTCAATTTTTGACTGTGACTCATCTTTTTTAAATACAGTAAATTATTGTTGTTGCACTTTAAAGTTACCCGGAGCCTTTTTCTTAAGGGAATACCTCACCCCCAAAATGATCGCTTGTATATCAATTACTCACTCTGTGATCATTCATTCTAAAACTCAGTGAATGAAGAATCCAAAAAGGAGAAAATGGAATCTGGGGCAGCCGATTTCAATGGAAGGCATGAGCAGAGTTCAAACGCACGTGCTTGCCAAGGCACGTTACTTCCGTGCGGAACTGTTTAAATGCATGTACGGAGTCAACCGGATGCACATTCATTCCTATGGGAATCTCCGTGATATCCAATGTGCCTGCGAAACCCCTCCCCTCTGTAATATTGCGGCCCACAACTTGCTTGGAGTATGTTAAAAAAAAACTTCTGAGGTGGATTTTGGAGGGACTGTATGACAGTGTGCTAGCTTAGCTAAAAGGCAGTTAACTAGCTAACAGGCTATTTTCTTCAATTCAGTTTCCTGTGTTGATTGTCAAGTGAGTTTGTATGATTAAAAAGAACTTGTTTATCCAGTTTTAACACATTGTGAATCTGAGTAATGTTATTCTGCTAAAATATGGTTATACATTTTATACATGGGATCGTCATTATCACTCGTTCAGCCGTTAATACATTGTTTTGATTTTTTTTTTAATTAAATATTTCATAAAATGTGCTATGTACGTGGTAGGTCCTTTTTCTGTCCCAGTAATGTTCCAAGGACATATTCCAAATTAGATGGCAAAAAACTGACAAAATTAGCCTCTCCCCTACAGATACAGGTAGTTTCTATCAGGTTTCTATCCATCCGTAAAGTAATGCACTTACTTGTGTTGGACACTAGAGGCATCATCCGTATACTAGACATGGAATTTCTCAGTTATGGGATCAGTAAAGGTGTATCTTATCTTATCTACGGACCCTGGTCACATACTTAAGTGGAAATGAGGTGTAAATCGGAATGTTTATAATGAAAATGCATGTGTTGGGGAAGTACTGTGCATACGACTGGATTAACGAGACTCAGATTATACTACATGAGTTGTGTGAGAATTTGTAAACAGATGTTTTGATATAGTTTTAAAGCCAGCTCCTGTTTAATTCAAATCACCAAGAGTATTATCCATTTTTGGATTCTTCGTTCACCATGTAACGTAAATGTAACGTTACACAAAGTGAGTGACTGATATTTGAATGGTCATTATGGTGGTGAAGTAGTTCTTCAAATATAGCCCTTTAGTGTTCGGATTTGTGTTTTTTTTTAATTTAATATACGCAATAGAACAGTCAACATTAGTCATGTCACATTAGAATCTGATTATTTTTGTTTTGAGGGTGATCAGAAAGGAGTGTTGTCTATCAGAAATCAGTAAAAAAAAAAAAAAAAAAAGCTGTGAAAAATATGTGTCAATGCAGAAAAGATAGTCAGAACACATGAATTTGTTCTCTACAGTTTATTATGCAAGTTTTCTGCAATTGATTCCAGTATTCCAGGATTCCCCTGTAAGGTGCAATATTAAATACAAAGGGAAGGGGGGGTTCTTTATTAGTTAAATTGTTGTTACCCTCATGATTAATATTGTAGCCCTTAAACAACTCTGACATTTTTTTCCTCAGGTGACTGTTTTCATGTAAAATGTTGCTATTTATTATTTTATATTATTTGCTGTGTTTACACTGTTTGGGGTAATTTTGGCTGTTAATCCTCCTTCCTCAGAATTACCAAACCTTCTCAAAGGGCTGCTTTCATTTCCTAAATCTGTTAGGAACACTCCTTATGAATAGCTATTTTGAATTTGTCTTGTTTGTGTGGCATTTACATGACCTCTCAATCCTGCTCTGTCACTCGTTTTCATTCTTTGATACTAAAATGTTCAACCAATTAAACTTGTGTCATTTATTTTTTGTGTTATGGGAAGAATTACCTCCTATAGAGCCAATTCCCACATCACGTTTAAAAACATTTTATGGATTCTTTGAGGAACAGCTTTTAAATATTATAAATTACTCTCTTCAGATGGGTGTCTTTCCCACTTCCTTTAAAACGGCAGTGGTGAGACCCCTTCTGAAGAAGAGTAAGTTACATCCCAACATTCTTAATAATTCCTGACCTGTATCCAACTTACCGTTTCTAAGTAAGATTTTAGAAAAACTAAGTAAATTATTTTTTAAGTATAAACAATATTTTAGAGAAATATCAATCTGGTTTTAGGATGAACCACAGTACCAAGACAGCCCTTTTAAAGATTTCAAATGACATCAAGTATAATGCAGATTCACAAACTCACTGTCTTGGTACTATTGGATCTAAGCGCTGCCTTTGATACAGTAGATCACCACATTTTATTAGACAGACTCAGAAACCTGGTCAGCCTCTCTGGTACTGTTTTTAACTGGTTCAGCTCTTATCTCACAGATTGATGTTTCTTTGTAAGTATGGATACATGTTCCTCCAGAACACACGAAATTAGGTGTGGGGTGCCCCTAGGGTAAATTTTAGGCCCAATTCTTTTTAATCTATATATGCTCCCACTTGGAGATGTCATCAGAAGGCACGGCATCAGCTTCCACAGTTACGCAGATGATGCACAGCTGTACATCGCCGTGTCTCCTGATGACACAGGGCCAATTGATGCCCTTTTTAACTGCATTTTAGATATCAAATCATGGATGGCAGTGAATTTCCTACAGGTCAACCAGGACAAAACAGAGGTCTTAGTTATTGGTCCTGAAGGCAAGAGAGAGAAACTTTTACCAAAACTACAAGATTTTAAACCTTCACAATGTCTAAAAAACCTGGGCGTCATTTTTGACTCTGAGCTTAATTTCATTCCACACATCAATAATGTAACAAAGATAAGTTTTTGTCATTTTAAGAATGACAAAACTTACATTGAGTTTTGCCCGTTTCTCTCTCAGGCTAACACGGAGGTGCTGATGCATGCTTTTATCTCTTGCTGTTTAGACTACTGTAATGCCCTGCTCTCTAGTCTTCCCAAAAAGACCATCTTCAAAACTCAACCGCACGTGTGCTGACAAAGACCAGAGGGCAGATGCACATTACGCAGATTTTAAAATTGCTGCATTGGCTCCCCGTGTGTTTCAGGATCGATTTTAAGGTTCTTTTATTCATTTTTAAATGTCTTAACGGTCTTGGGCCATCTTATTTATCTGACCTGCTTTTATCATATCAACCCTCGCGGATCCTGAGGTCCTCCGGCACCGGCCTTTAAATCATCCCAAAAGTTAGAACAAAAACCCACAGGGAGGCTGCATTCAGCCATTATGGCCCACACTTGTGGAACAGCCTGCCGGAGAGCATCAGGACTGCAGAGACTGTTGATGTTTTTGAAAGGAGGCTCAAGACTCACCTCTTTAATTTGGCCTTTAACTGATTTCTTCTACTCTTCTTTTATTATATTTTATATTTTTATTTATTTATTTATTTTATTTATTTATTTTTTAATGTCTAATGTTCTTAATGATTTACTTTTAGCATTTTATTATTTTTAATTTTTAACTCTTTATTTTTAAATCTTTAAATTTTCTACATCTTTAAATTTCTTATGCATTTTATCATTATTCTGTCTTATGCATATTTTTATCCTACCCTATTGTCTTTTAGTCTTATAGTTTTTAGCTCCAGTGTTTCCTCATGGGGGGCCTCCACACCGGGAGGTGTGTCCGGTCTGCCCGCGGGGACGTCGTCCTGGAGATCCCTCAGGCCCAGAGGACTGCGTTTTTCCTCACCTGGTGCCTCAGTGCCCTGTCATGTTACTATACTATACTATACTGCCTACTGGCAGTTAGTGAATGCTGTGTGTGTATGTGTGTGTGTGTGTGTGTGTGTGTGTGTGTGTGTGTGTTATACGTGGGGGGGTGGGAGGGGCAGGTTTTTCATTGTTTTTATTTTGTTAAGCACTTTGTGTTGCATTTTTAATGTATGAAAAGTGCTATATAAATAAAGTTTAATTTGATTTGATTTGATATGGTCAGAATATAATATTTGAACTGCTGCAGTAGACTGTATTCACAATTTACACTGTTTTAAGATGTGATTTGGGTTTTTAGTCACCCAAAAAGCAGGAAATAGATCTGTACCCTAACTTATTTTAAGTTGCAGTGTAGTTTTATTGCCACTAGATGTTACACTAGCACCACGGAGTCACGACACATCCCCTGCTGTCATGACTGATTGGTGTTGTGTATACTATAACATCTGAATATTATTTTGAAGTACCACATCCATAAGCCTCATTACAATTGTGAGCTAGCCTGCAAAACCAACTTCATGTCTGCCTGCTTGGGGAACGAAACAATGTTTGTCTACTTGGCACGTGATGTAAATGTGAGCACAGTCCTTTTTAATGGGGATACATGATGTCTCTCTGACCTCAATATGTGGTCACCTGCGAGGAGGAGGATGAGTAGCCCTGCTTTACTGAAGAAAAAGGGAAGAGGACTGAGTCTATGAGAGAGGAGACAAGAGGATGTCCTGTCTAACACAGGATATTATTGACATGATAGATATATACATTGTACATACTTCTCTGTCTCAAACGAATCCCCCCACCACTCTCTCTTGCTCTCATTCTCTTTCTCCTTCTTTGCACTTTTTATTCTTTCGTAACACCTCCATTTCTCTTCCTCGCTTGCTTTCTCTCAGTCTCATGAGTCACTGTGACAGGCTGTCAGTCCACCTTTCTGCCCAGTGTTTACATTGGGCAGCAGAGCAACACCAGGCTGGTTGCACTCCAGGAATGTAACCCCCAAGGTCCCTGCCCTCCTCCTCCTCCTCCTCCTCCTCTTTTCCCTTCTCCCCACATCTATCCTCCCCATCTTTTCCTCTCCCTCCTTCATTCTTTTTTTCCCTCATTGCACAAACTCACTTCCTCCCCTTCTCACTTTCCTTCTTCCATCATTTCCCCTCTCCTCCTCTCCTCCCTCTAATTATCCTCCCCTCTGCCCCATCAGCCCCCCCTCCCCAACACCGGCTCCCTTCCTCTCCTTCTGCCACCTTTCTCTCCTCTTTTCTTCCCCACGCTTTCTCTCCTCCGAACCTCCACTCCCCTTCTCCCTCGCCCTTTTATTTTATCCCCCCTCTTTAAAATTCAGAGAGCATTGTCCAAACTCACTCGCACCCCCCACATTCCCCTGTCATCGTCCCCTCACCTCCCACTCCTCCCCATCCCTCTGTCCTCCCTCCCTCATTCCTCTGCTGTCTAACCCAAACAAACCAGGGAGGACTTTCCTCTGTGGTGGCTGCAGGAGAAACACACCACATGTCAGACTTGGTTTAAACATAAACATTAGTCAATTTGAGGTACTGGAAAAGGATATGAGGCGCTTAAGTTCAACATGAGATAGAGCTACTATTAGGAAATCTTAACGCTAAAACGTACCACTGTGTATACAAAAAATCAGAGCAGAGAACTGTATATTTTGGTGTATATTGGCAAATGTATATTCTTTGGAATGAGGCAACTGTATCAAAGAAGGACTAAAATCAATGGACTGCATAGAAAAACAATTTTAAACACCCCTTTCATTGGTTTGTACAATAAAGTTAAAGCTACAAAGTACAACCCAAGTTTTTTTATACATTTAATATGAAGAGTGCCTTGGATTTCATTTGTATTTGTTGATGAATATCCATTATAACCTGTAAACTAACTTTATATATAAATAAAATCTATTGTGAGATTAAAAATAAATATTTTATAGGATAGAAACGCTTGTATTTGAGATACTGCCCTCTTTGGGTCACACTTTCTTTCCAAATGGAATTAAACATGCAAGAATTAAAGTATTTATTAGCACATTAGGAGTCAAGGCAAATAAAGTCGATCTAATAATTAGGAACAATCTACGCACACTGTTCTGTTTTCCAGTGACGCAGCAGAGTATGTAATCTCCTGCTTAACGGTGGAACCTTTTCAGTCAGAACACAGTCCTGTGGCATTTCTCAGCAAGCGGCGCGTGACCTCTGCCGCACTGTTCTGTGTGGTGTCCATACCAGGGGGATTTATAATCAGATTATGCAAGTTATGAAAGTCAACTAGATTAGTTTTAGTACGGGAAGCCAGAGCACAAGGCATCGATTCACAGCGTGAGAGCGGAGCTGATCAGCATGAGGGAGATTGGGCTGTTAACGGTCTCAAAATAACATCAGGCATTTCACTGTCGCAAAATCAAATAAGTGTGTGTGTGTGTGTGTGCATGTGTGTAGTAATGCAAACAGTGCAGAGTAAAGTGGAACTCTCATGAAGAAAAATCACATTTTATTTGGAGGCATCACAAACAATGGTTGATTTAGTTGTTTTCTTCAGTTTATCCCTGCTCTCCGAGATCTGTTAGTTTCCTGTGCTTTGAATTTTGGTGATGCGTGCCCCCTTTTGTGTACACTTCAGCAGATACCTTTTGTAGATGGTGTAGTCAGAAGCAACAGAATGAGGCAGATGGAGCAGAGACAGGTCAGGAGGTTCAGCTCTGGTGCTTCAGCTGAGTGATCATGTTGTTGCTGTCACTGCAAAAAACGTCTCCCTGACCTCCAGAGACAGGAGAGGTGACCTGGAAGCATTTATCACCTCTGTGCTTTCTGACCCATGACCTGAAGCCTGAGATAGGGAAAAAGAACACTAACACACCAGAGAGAAAAGAGGAAGATAAAGAAAGACACAGGGAAGGGGTGACTAATGCAACAATGCACAAGTAGCTATTTGTTATGCTAAATTAGTAAAATAGAATCGCTTGTTACGTGAGAGGAATTGGTTTCTGTACTTTAAAGTCATGATAGCGGGTTTATGAAACTGCTGGAAACCGGCGTGGACTTCGTGAGCGTGCATCAATGGCAATATTTGTCTTGGTCAGAGGATGAAAACATGGCC